CTGGTTTTAGAGATTCCAACCTATATTCTATGTACTTGATCTAGAGTTCCAAGGCCAATTCTTTGTCTTCTGTTCCTGAAACCCTTTAATATAAATACCCAAACCATAAAGGCAGGATGACGTATGGAACTGGACTGACTGACTCACCCTATCCAGCCCTAGCCCTCCAGAATGGGCCTAAAAAAGTCACAATAAGTTTGGGCTGTAGGGTTTCAGGTCAGTTATACAAATGACTAGAAATATTCTTTTGGGGAAAGGATAGTGTCCCCATGACTTAAAGACCCAAAACGTGCTGAGACTGTATCCCTGAAGAAAGTAGGGTAAGCCTGAACTAATTCCCTCAGTGTTGTTTTTTTTGCTAGCAGTTTCTCCGTCTTTTATTCTCTAGGAAAAGCGTGGGCATATTCTAAACAAAGCCACTTTTTTTTTTTTAAGTTGCCTCTCACATCATGAAAAATTCTCAATTTAGCAGACAGGAATTAAGCAATATCATTAAAGTGCTATTTTGCATCTGGAAAACATGGGATTATTTTTACTTTCCTTTTTTAAAGTTTTTATTTTTAATCTCTACACCCAATATGGGGCTCAAACTCACCACCCCAAGATCAAGGGTTGCACACTCTACTGACTGAGCCAGGCAGGTTCCCCTATTTTTACTTTTTATTTAAACTGGACATATTTTTAATCCACATGATGAAAAGTTCAAAAGGCACAAGTTATAGAGGGAAAAATCTCCTTTCCACCCTATCTCATGACCAACCAGTTACTCACTCCAAAGAAACTAACATTTTGTATCTTTCCAGATGCATTTTGTACATATACAGGCAAATATGAATATTAATATTTCCCCAAGCTTTTACACAAATAATAGCAACCTATACACACTGTTCACAACTTCATGATATTGTATTGTATGGATGTTCCACACTTACTGAAGCAGTTCCCTACTAATGGACCTTAAGTTTGTTTTCAATCTAATCTACAGACAACCTGGTGCACACATCATTTTACATGTGCATGAGTATATATAAGGGATAAATTTATGAAAATCACTCAGTTAAAGTTATCTTCAGTCATCATTTTGGTTCACTTTTCCCAAATACCCCCAATAGAACTTGTGCCAATCCTGCTTGCCCACACAATGCGTAAATCAGGGATATTTTAAGATCATTTATTTGTGAGACAGCACATGCACTCAAGCAAGAAGCAGTGGGGGTAGGGAGGGGCTTGGCAGATGGAGAGAATCTTCAAGCAGGCTCCCTGCTGAGCACCAAACCCGAGGTGGAGCTCAATCTCATGATTCATGAGATCACTACTTAAGCCAAAACCAAGAGTTGGATACTTAACTGACTGATCCACCCAGGTGGCCCAATCAGGGATACTTTTAGATCAGAGAGAGATGATATGAAAGATGGAAACACTATGTAAAATTAGATTGCTACCCACTTGGTTATCATTTTATTACCCATAAATCAAAGGTCCTGCAAAGGAAAACAGTACAGTGGTTCTCCCTTCTCCACAATTTCAGTTACCAGTAGTCACTGCTGTCTGGAACCAGATGATCCCCGGACACATTGCCAGGCCAGTTGGTAGCCTAACACTATGTCATAGTGTCTACATCATTCCCTTCACTTCATCCCATCATGTAGGCATGTTATCATCTCACATCATCAGGAGAAGGGTGGATACAGTACAATAATTTTAGAGAGAGAGAGAGACCACATTCACACAACTTTTATTTTAGTGTATTGGTATAGTCTGTATTATTATTGTTGTTGATTTCCTACTATGCCTAACTTAACGATTAAACTTCATGATACATACGTATAGGAAAAAAACATAGCATAAATGGGGTATTCAGTATTACTCATTTATCCATGGTTTCAGGCATCCCCTGGAGGCCTTGGAACATATCCCCCCTGGATAAGGGGGAAGTACTGTATCATCAAAAATAGTTTGGACATTCACGGAAGTTGATAGTTCCTCATTCCCCTCTGAACCACTAAAATAAGTATGCCAAAATCAATTAGAAGCACAATTCCTAAACTTAACACTCAGCACCCGCGAGCTGGTGAAAAGTCAGCAGAAGAGAAAGAGGGGAAATGATGACTACTGGGACTTCCTATACGATCCTTCGCAATTTCCCTCACAACGTCCAACTTTAGTGACCACAAGTTCCTTCCACTACATTGTCCTGCACGGCAAGAAGTAGAGGAGAACCACCCCAAGGGTGATGATAGGCCCCGTTATGATGCACAGAATGCTGAGGTCAGTGGATCGCAGGGCTCAGAGGATTCTCCCCACAGCCATGGTCCGCGGGAAAAGGCCGTGTGGACAATGGACGTGACGAAATTTGAAGCCCCCATGGGCTTTCTCGATGCGAGAGGGTTCCTGAATACCCGCCAGGTAAAACATACTTCCTGCAACCAGCTCCTTAGTTTAGAAATGTGGAATCCAGGGCGCCTGGGTGGCTCAGTTGGTTAAGTGACTGCCTTCGGCTCAGGTCACGATCCTGGAGTCCGGGGATCGAGTCCCACATCGGGCTCCCTGCTCGGCAGGGAGTCTGCATCTCCCTCTGACCCTCCCCCCTCTCATGTGCTCTCTCTGTCTCATTCTTTCTCTCAAATAAATAAATAAATAAAATTCTTAAAAAAAAAAAAAGGTGGAATTCGGTCAATCTGCTGGATCTCGGGAGACTGGGGCAGAATCTGGTCTCAGCCAATCACGCGGCAAGAGAACTGTACACCCCGCCCCTCCCTGCCGGACACCACCCTGCCCCACCTTTTCCCTCTGCCTTTCTCTAAGTGGGCGGAAGCCCGGCACCCCACCTGAAGGTCACGTGACGCCTCCTCCCCACGTGACGCAGCCCGGGGCAGGGAGGAGGGCGGGCCTCGAGTTGCATTACGTCATCACGTCGCGCGGCCGCGTAGGCGAGATCCTGGAAGACCACGGTGACGGCTTCAAAGCCTTGGGGTCGGGGCGGCTGCGGCGGCGCTTGGGCTCCTGCTGAGCCGCCTGCTGGCCCCGCGCCCCACCCAATTCCCACGGGCGGGGAACAGGCCCGGTGTGGCTGAGTGGGCCCGCGAGCGGAGGTGAGTCGCAGGAGGCGGTGGCAGGCAGCTCTGCTCTTCCCTTCCTAGCTCCCGACTCCCGGTTACGGCCCTTCCCCCATCCATCGACTCCCTCCGGTGTGGAACGCAGAGACGCCGGTGAGCGGAGGGAGGCTTGCGGGGCCGGGGGCGCTCCTGGCCTGGAGCGCCCTCCTCTCATCCCCTCCCTGATTGCGCCCCCCCAGGATCTCCACCTGGAGCTGCCCGCGCTGTTCCCGGTGTTGTCAGGAGGGGAGACTGTCTTTCCTTCTCCCACCTGGAATTTAGTCTTTCTAGAATTTGACACCTTTCCGCTCTCGCCCCCTCCCCGAATCTTCCGTGGTGGAACCCCTCTGCTCAGATGTTAACGGAAGTTCCAAAAATGTGAGAGTGAAAGATAGGGCTGAGATTTTGCTTTATGAGGCAGGAGTCCCCAAGGAGGAAGACTACACTGAATTAAGGTTACTGTCGGTTTTGACACTGAATTAAGGTTACTGTCGGTTTTGACACTGAAACTGTAAAACCCAGCCCTAGGCTCAGCCCTGTGGTAACTCCTCAGAGGATCTTCACAGTAAATGGGCATCTGTTCAGACTTTTCTTACATCTTCAGAATTGGAAGTAAATAGACTTAAGGAAAATCTTTTTGAAAAACGTCATATGCTTTGGTGAATCACCTATTCTGTAAAATGGATCTTGCAGGTTGTTGGAGAGATTATATCTAGAGTGCTTATAAAATAATAATGCTAACTGTATATAGAAGTAGATGAGAATTTAGGATCTCGTTTGTGCTATTCAAAAATTCTGGTTGTGAGTTGTGGACTCTTGAAGATCATTGTTTGATTTTTTTCCCCCTTAGATTATCTCAGAAAGTTATAGATTCCAAATAAGACTTTCTTAATAACCATCCCATTTCATTCCCCAGAAATTGTCCTTGAAACAAACAAACAAACACTAAAGCCTGTCAATAATCAAGAGAGTAAAAAGTACATTGGGTTTTTTTAATATGTAATGTATTACTGAGTTTTTTTAATTGATGCATACAAGTGAACTTTGCAAGTGACTGGCTATGGCAGTAAAATCAGTAGTGGAGTTTTAATAGGTTTCTATCCTAATAATTAGGCTCTTGGTTTCAGTGTAGAAGAATTACTACTGGATGTTTACTACTAATGTAGAGTAGGAAGACCCTTCTGTAGAAGAGCTTCAATAACTTAATCATAGGTAAGCTTTGCAGTGTTTCCATTATTCAGGGTAGGTATCGGGTCCTCATTTGAAATGTCATTTTTAAGAAGAAATCCAGATATATTTGGAAGTCATAATAATTGTTTGCTTACTTGTTTAGAAAAAAGTTCATTTTCACTGACTCTGGTCTTTATTGCTCCAAGTTGAATACACAATTTTTCTTTTCTTACATTTGATTTCTAAACATTTAAGGTACACCTGCTAGGATAGGAAAAAATACATAAAACAGAATCCTATCCTCTAAATACCTACTTAATCTACTTATGGATATTAAGTAATAGTGATATCACACCTTTAGGAAATTTTATCTTTTCATTTTATCATTTGAGACTGTGACAGCGTTTGGGAAGATATGCAAGGTATGTGTGGGTTTTTTTCTATTTACAGTACAGTTGAGTATTGATTATAACAAATGTCAAGTGGCAGGGGCACTCGATATTGGAATTTGGAGGAAGAAGAGATTGTTTTTACTTGGGTTTGTGGTTAGGTTGTTGTAGTTAAGACCAGTAATAGGAGTACTCTCTACTTGTGTTTGGGTCTGAGGAAGCCTCCTTATTTGTATAGCTAATTGAATATGTTTAATTTTCCTCGTCCTTCAAGTGTGCTCTGGGTTTTTTTCTCTTGTACTTGCAGAATCCAAGGACCCCTTTCATTCTTTCTCCATATTGCTTGATGGGAGGCATTATGGCCCCCAAAGACATAATGACAAATACTCACGCTAAATCCATCCTCAATTCAATGAACTCTCTCCGGAAGAGCAATACCCTCTGTGATGTGACTTTGAGAGTAGAGCAGAAAGACTTCCCTGCCCATCGGATTGTGCTAGCTGCCTGTAGCGATTACTTCTGCGCCATGTTCACCAGTGAGGTAAGTGGTAAGTTAATGCCTCACAAATGAAATTCACACTTGTAACCTTGTAGTTGTCTCATTTGATTGAATAAAATAGTAAAAGTTTGATGTAATGGTGAATTTCTATAGTACAGTGGTTCAGTGGACAGACTCTGGTCAAAATCTGCCTTTAGACTATGTCTTAGTTTCCTCATCTCTAAATTAGGGGTACTAGCAATTGCAGTCACATATGGTTATTGTGACAGTTATTTGAGAAAATCACATATGAAGTGTTTAGAACAGTGTCTAGCCTGTGGTAAAACACAAATGTCAGCTACTGGATTTTACTTATTTTTAAAATTTGTTTTCCTGTTTTTTTTTTTCCTTCTAAAGTTTAAGATTTTAAAGTGAATTCTAGGAGGATAAGGGGGAGGGAAGGAAAGAAGAGTAGGATTCAGTCCTCATCCAACTCCACCTAATAATATATGAAGAAAATCAACATTCATTCTGCCAGTGTAGATTTAGAGTAATTTCAAATGAGAGGAGGAGGACTTAATAAATGACTTTGTGACTGTATAGGTATTTGGAGTATAACTTGGAAAAAGATGCTGTCTGTGGAGTATATATAAGCAGTTAAAGGGAATAAGGAAAAGGTTGACTCAACAAGAAAAAAGGTGCATATAGGTATTAAGAAAGACTGCTTGAGGGGCGCCTGGGTGGCTCAGTCGTTAAGCATCTGCCTTCGGTTCAGGTCGTGATCCCAGGGTCCTGGGATCACGGGGAGCCTGCTTCTCCCTCTGCCTCTGCCCTACCTCTCCGTGTGCGGCTCTCTCTCCCCCTCTCTCTTTCTCTGTTAAATAAATAAGTAAAACATTTTAGAAAGAGAAGAATGAAAGAGACTGCTTTAGGGGCACTTGGGTGGCTCAGCTGGTTGTGTCCAACTCTTGGTTTCAGCTCAGGTTGTGATATCACGGGTGTGAGATGGAGTCGGCCTCCCCTCCTGCTCTTCTCCACTCAGCTGGGAATCTGCTTGAAGAATCTCTCCCTCTGCCCCTCCCCTCCTCAAATAAATAAATAAATCTTTTTTAAAAAGACTGCTTTAGTAATGTGCAGAATACTTAAAATGAAGAGTAAGGCTGTTGAATGTATTGTGAAGTGCTCTTAGAAAGCCAAACAGCAGAGACCACTGCAGCTTTTTTATTTTTCAAAAATCTCAAGTCTGACTTTTAAAATTTAAATCAATTATCTTGAATTTTTTTTAAAGATTTAGTTATTTTAGAGTGAAAGAGAGAGTGCAAGAGCAGGGTGCAGGGGGCGGGTAAAGGCAGAGGGAGAAGGGAAGCCTGAGCATGGAGCCTGTCACAGGGCTCGATCTCACAACCCTGAGATCATGACCTGAGCCAAAATCAAGAAATCAGGAGTTGGATGCTTAACCTACAAGCCACCCAGGCTCTTGAATTTTTTTAAGCTTGAGTGAGAGTACACCAATGTGTATTATATCATGTATCTCTGCTTATACATATACCTGAAATATCTATTATGTTACCGTTATTTTTAAAAAACGCTATTTTCAAAAAAAATTTTTTAAGAGAGCACACAAGCAGGGATGGGGGAGGGGGCAGAGGGACAGAGAAAGAGAATCTTAAGCAGGCTACACGTCTAGCGGGGAGGCCGACACAGGGCTCAATCTCACGACCCTGAGATCATGACCTGAGCCGAAATCAACAGTCGTAGGCTTAACTAACTGAGTCACCCAGGCGCTCCTTTAAAAATTAGAAAGGGGGGGGTACCTGCGTGGCTCAGTCGGTTAAGCGTCTGCCTTAGGCTCAGGTCATGATCCCGGGGTCCTGGGATCGAGCCCCACGTCAGGCTCCCTGCTCTGAGGGGAGCCTGCTTCTCCCTCTCTCCGCTGCTCATGCGTGCGCTCTCTCTCAATAAAATCTTAAAAAAAAATTTTTTTTTAACCATCAGTATTTAGTTAATCTCATCAACCTTAGTGAAGATTTTGCCATTGGATCTGAATAGGAGAGTGATGGCTGTATGTCCTTCACCGTAGGGTTAGATGTTACCATCTCATTTTACAAATGAAACAAAGTCTCAGATGTTAAATGACTTGCCTTAGGTCACATGGCTTATAAATGCTAAAGAAGGGGTTTATTCCTAAATTTTCTGGCTCTAAACCTGAACAATATATGCCATATTTGAAAATCTATGAATATATGCTGTATTGCTCTATACAAATTTAATTACCGTGCTTCTTCAGCCTCTGATATGTAGATTTTTTATATTCTATAATTTCAAAGCCAAAATAGTTTATGATGCTCTGAGCCAATGCTCGGTCACATGGCTGGTAGGAAAAACATGGAAACCTGACAGAAAATTCCTGCTAATTCAGGCTAATTTTAAAATGCTCTTATGTAATATAACATCACAGATCATGTCCTATATTGTCCTCCAGAAAAAGTATCTGCCCGAGAGCATCAGAAGCAGTTGGCATTTAACTGGGTAAGGAAGGTTCTCTCAGCAGCTGCTGAGCATGAAGTACTAATGGATCAGGACTGCTGACTACTAATTATATATTGTACATCCTGTTCTTTGTCAGCTTGAGGAAAATTTGTCTTTACTCTCTCTGCACATTGAAATTGGTATGGAGTTCTATAAAAGAATTCTTTTTTCTCATCAGGGATTATTTTATAGTCTTTCTTTAAAAACTGGTATTAGGCGAAAATGCCAGATGGTTTTGTCTTTATTTTTAAGAGTAATTGATACAAAGGAGAGGGTCCAGAGATCTGGGTCCTAGGCTCAGTCCTCTTAGCAATGCTGCATGAACCATGACAACCATTTAACTTCACTGGGTTGATCTTTAAAATAAAGTAGTTGAACTACATGGTTTCATTATTTGCTTCAGGCCCTGAAACGCTCCTCGAATGTGGTCCAACGGAAAGATCATTTGAGTGAGACGAAAGGACCTGAGTTTTAGCTAGTACCTGAGCTTTAACTAGTACCTTGGTTAGGTCGCATAACTTCTTTGAATGGGAATAATGCCAGACCTCTAAATCCTTAACCAGGTTGCTATGAGAATTAGGTGAAGTAATAGTAGATAAGAAGCACTTGGAAAAATTGTAAAGCAAATATAAATGTGAAATGATACTATAAATTGCTCTGAGTGAATAAATAGTGAAATATTTTCATGTTTAAAAAATAGTTATTTGATGAGAGTATGGTTTGTTGAATAAGAAATTTCTGGAATAGATGTACTTACATATTTCTGTTTGCAAATATTTTTACTATGTGCAATGTTAATAAAACATTTTTCCAAAATGATGTACTAGTTACATTTTTAATATTAGGGATTGATTTTGTTATTGGCCTTGGTAGAGAATACTTTTTTATTATTATTTTGGGCTGATGGAGAAATCAAAACTGATAAAGACATTTAGTTTGTAATGAAAGTGCACTGGAGTTTTGTGAATAATTTGAATTTCTAAGGTTCAGGTGTAATAAAATTTTCATAAGGCAGTCAATTTTCAGGTAGTTTACTGTCCTGTAAAACTGAAGATTTCCACTCTTAGTCAACAGTTTTCTATGATTATCTGGCCTCTTCGATACCCATTACTCTAAGGATATATTCTGGACTGAATAGGCCACTAACAATTCAGTAATCCCGAAATAGACTCGATCCATTATTTTGAAAAAGTATCAAACAGAGGTGCCTGGGTGGCTCAGTCATTAAGCGTCTGCCTTCGGTTCAGGTCGCGATCTCACAGTCCTGGGATCGAGCCCCGCATCAGGCTCCCTGCTCGGCAGGAAGCCTGCTTCTCCCTCTCCCGCTCCCCCTGCTTGTGTTCCCTCTCTCACTGTCTCTCTCTGTCAAATAAATAAATAAAACTTAAAAAAAAAAGGTATCAAACTAGTTATGTTCAGTGTCACAGTAGAAGGCCCCTTAAGATGACTTGCATGTTTTCGTCGTTACCAGATGTAGTCTAAGGACAAATAGAACAATACTGAGTAACCTTGGAGGGTCTGGAGCTGTAAGCCACAGGGTCCTCTACAAGCATGAAATTTCGTTGAAATTTTGTGTTTTATCTTAAAAGCTGAGGGACACCAGCAGCATGTTCATGGAATTTTTACATTCTATTCTGTAATAGATCTGTGTTTTATTATGAAAGAGTTTTAAATTATTCACTGGTAAAATTGATATTCCAAGGTGTCACCTCATTGTGTGCTCTTGGGTTACATACAGCTGCCCCCAATTTGAAAAGCTACAAATATATGCCATATTTGCTTTATACAAATCAAACAAATTAGACCATAATTTTTTAAAGCTGTGTATTCAGTTAATATTAACATCCCTTCAAGCTCTTGGATATGAGATTCTGCCTTCATCTCATGGAATTATAACCACCATTATTTCATACCCTTTGAATTTTCAGCTTTCAGAGAAGGGGAAACCTTATGTTGATATTCAAGGTTTAACTGCTTCTACCATGGAAATTCTGTTGGACTTTGTGTACACTGAAACCGTACATGTGACAGTGGAGAATGTGCAGGAACTGCTCCCTGCAGCCTGTCTGCTCCAGCTGAAAGGTATGGATGTTAAAGTTGCTGTCGTGCCAAGGTAGCCTTAGAAGTGTTTAAAATTAATGATGTAAACTTAATCCTAAAAATTATGGAGACAGACCATGGGCACTCATGTTTACTGCCTGTGGCACAGAAGATCAGATTTCAATCACAATATCAAAGAGCCTCTCCACATGTGAGTGTTTGGCTCTTCAGAAGAGCATTTGCACCTTTTATGTTTTTTAAAAAATGAAAGAGGGGATTATAGACGCATTTTCTTACATGTATGTACACAGTAACTCTACAGGGAAACACAGGAGACTGATATTCATAGGCTACATGGAAAGGAACTAGATGGCCAGGTGGATAGGGAGGCTGGGGGATTATTCATGGCAAACCCTTTTGTACTTTTAATTTTTCAATCATGTAAATTATCTGTTGAAAATTTAAATTGACATACAAAAATGAAAGTATATAATGTTTTCACAAGATTAAATATTGCTGTTCCCAGCCCGTCTTTCTTAACTTGCTCTGATGTTTCTATGATTTTCAGTTTTTCCAAACACATGGTTGAAAATTTTCACTTTTTAATACATGATTGAAAACAGTGTGAAGCTTTTGCATTAGTGCACAGCTGTAACATTAGATTCATACTCTGAACTTGTCAATTAGAGAAATAAGAGATTGGTGTTAGTGTCTTTTACTTTTCCTTCATAGGAGTCTTTCAGTAAGTCTGCATATGGAGTAGAAATTAGGTACATTATGTTAAATTGTGATTGGTTTTATAAAAGCTTGATTCCCAAGAGTTTTATAGGCATTTTTGTTTAATTGTGCCAGTGTCCATCGAAACAATTTGTCTTGCTATACTTATTTTAAAGCTGAAACAGAGACATAGTTGTAAAGGCCTTCTTTGAAGGTCACATAGCACATAAGACAGAAATTGCATTTGAATTCCTTAAGCATAAAATTTCTAATCTGATCACCAGCTGTTGAGCCAGGATTCCTTTGTTACCGTGTAGAGAAGACATCTTGATCCAAGAATGTAGACCAGTTTACACCTGGTCAAGTACTCTGAAGTGTTCATTGTCTGTGTTTGTCCTAGGTGTGAAGCAAGCCTGCTGTGAGTTCTTAGAAAGTCAGTTGGACCCCTCCAATTGCCTGGGTATCAGGGATTTTGCTGAAACTCACAATTGTGTGGACCTGATGCAAGCAGCTGAGGTTTTTAGCCAGAAGCATTTTCCTGAAGTGGTACAGCATGAAGAATTCATTCTTCTAAGTCAAGGAGAGGTGGAAAAGTTAATCAAGTGTGATGAAATTCAGGTACAAATTTGGCTTGGTATTCAGGTTTCTTTAAGACTGGGCCACTACAGAACCTGGGAAAAACAAGGTGGAATTACTGTCTTTTTGTAGCAGGGCATCTTAATCAAGTGTCAGTATTGGCTCCAAAGGTTTCACTCAGTGCCCTGAAATTATATGCCAAATTTATTTGCACTTTTATGGGAGGGAGTTAGCCACCTTCCTCAGTGTATGATCCCAATGGTTAAGAGTCACTGTTTTTTTTTTTTAATGTTTCTCTGATGTCTTACAACTATTTTTTTAAAGATTTTATTTATTTATTTGCCAGAGAGAGAGAGAGAGAGCAAAAGCAGGGGGAGCAGCAGGCAGAGGGAGAAGCAGGCTCCCCGCTGAGCAGGGAGCCTCATGTGGGACTTGATCCCAGGACCCTGGGATCACAACGCAAGCCAAAGGCAGACGCTTAACCAACTGAGCCACCCAGGTGTCCCAAGAGTCACTATTAAAGAGAGTGTGGAAGGGCGCCTGGGTGGCTCAGTTGGTTAAGCGACTGCCTTCGGCTCAGGTCATGATCCTGGAGTCCCGGGATCGAGTCCCATGTCGGGCTCCCTGCTCAGCAGGGAGTCTGTTTCTCCCTCTGACCTTCTTCCCTCTCATGCTCTCTATCTCTCATTCTCTCTCTCTCTCTCAAATAAATAAATAAAATCTTTAAAAAAAAAAAAAAAAAAAGAGTGTGGAATAAGCAGAAATTGGAAATAAAGTAGATTTCTGTAGAACACTTCTCTATTACTCATTCACTCATTTTACAAACATTTATTGAGAATTTCTACTATACAGCAGTAGATATTCTCAATGAACTATATGTACCAGATGCTATGGACCCAAAAGTGAGTAAGATACGTTTGTTTTCAGTAATTCGCAGTGTGTAGTGGTAGAGACAGACAAAAAGACAAAACTTAGTATAATGAGAATAATGAACTTATTCAAAGTGAAGAAATTAGAAAAAAGAAGAATTAAACCTTTTAAGTTAAAATTAGATCAAAAAGGAAGTGGATCAGAAAGGAAGTGAAAAAGAAGGGTGGCGATCATAAGCAGGAGGCAGATGGTAAGTGCCTAATGGGGTTATGAGGGAGTGGGAAGAAGGGACATACGAACTCCCCTTGAGGGAGTTGTTTTTCACCTAGCAGAGGGGAAACTACTGGTGGGCGGGCAAGGGTTCAGTGACTTACCCCAGCAAGAAGGATCTTAGTCAATCCTAATGCTAAATCATAGTGCCAATAGTTTAGCAGAGTTTTTATTGAATAGAAATCTGTAGTTAGGCTGACAATTGGAGTGAGAAGTCCAATATGGGGGTATAGATGTCTTTGAAGCCCAAGGCATTAATTTCCAGTGGTCACATTCTCTGGTTAGTAGCTCCTAGAAAATGCCTAGCAGAGCCAAGTGGTAGGCTAAAAGTCCATCTGTTAGGTTTTGTTTCCTCCAGTCAGGAGAAATCCGATTCTCTAGGAAGGCTAAGAGTTCATTTTTTCCTCTCACTCTCCTTAGATAATAATAAAAAATGAGGGCGCCTGGGTGGCTCAGTTGGTTAAGCGACTGCCTTCAGCTCGGGTCATGATCCTGGAGTCCCGGGATCGAGTCCCACATCGGGCTCCCTGCTCAGCAGGGAGTCTGCTTCGCCCTCTGACCCTCTTCCTTCTTGTGCTCTCTATCTCTCATTCTTTCTCTCTCAAATAAATAAATAAAATCTTTAAAAAAAAAAATGAACTTTGAATTAGTGGATTCCCAGAAGTTAGTGGCACCTCATTTTAATCTTAAAAAGAATCAAAGTCTGATGAATTTTCTAAGTGCTATAGAAGGAATTTGCTAAAGAAATCCTATAATACACTTTTGTAAACACAATGATAACTAATTTATTTTATTAAAACTAGGATTTTTATGTAATACAGTCTTCAGAATGTTTCTTATCAAAATTTTAGCCAACTTTTTGTCTTTCCCTACTGACTTTTTTTTTTTTTGAAGATTTTTATTTATTTGACACAGAGAAAGAGAGATAACAAGTAGGCAGGCAGGCAGAGGGAGAAGCAGGCTCCCTGCTGAGCATGGAGCCCGATGTGGGGCTCGATCCCAAGACACTGGAATCATGACCTGAGCTGAAGGTAGACGCTTAACCGACTGAGCCACCCAGGTACCCCTCCCTACTGACTTTCTGAGGGAAAATTGATTAGGGCACCTTGGTGACATTGTTTCCAACTAAAGAGGAATCATTTTACAGTTTGACATGGTGTCATATTAGTCCAGAGAAGCTGCTGTTACAAATGTTACTGAGCCAAGTATTTGCTAAAGTTTTGTTCTCACTCTTGCTGTGGTAGGACATTGTGTCCATGCACTGGAATGCCAGGTATAGACGAATGGCACATTCCTCAGACTTGGGAAACTGGTAACTTGCTAGAATATCTTGATTTTTCTTGATTTATCCATACATTAGAAAATATAGTAAATAGAATGAGTACTATAGACTTGAAGTTCACTGCACATAATAATAAAAGAGCTAAAACTTACTCAGCATTTGCTATTGGTTTCTTTATTAAATATTTATTGGGCGCTTAATGGTGTGTCCAGAACAGTTCCATGTACCAGCAATCCGATTGTAGACAAAAAAGATAAAAATCCCTGTACCCTGGACTTCTCATTTTAGTTGTACTATTCTTGGTATATCTTATCTAATGTAGTTCTCAAAAGTGTCTCCATTTTTTCAGAGGAAGAAACTGAGGCTTTGAGGATACCCATCATACCAGAGCTAGTAAGTGGTAGAACCAGGCCTCATATCTGGGCCAACTGGCTCCAGATTGTTCTGTTCCAAGAAACTATGAGCAGGTTGCCTAGTTAGTTTCTCATTGACCAAATCAGCAAGCAGTTACAGCAATCATTTATTTTAGAACTATGTAAACTTTGGAATAAAATTAAATGGAACAGGGAGAGCAAAAGACTTTTTTATTCAGAAACTGAGATGACAAGAGTTTTAGAACTCTTTTGTCTTCCTTCAGCCCCTGTCAAGACTTGTCTTTTTTTCTGGAAAGACAGCAAATGGCACATTTTTTTCTCTTGCATATACCAGCCAGAAAGAGGAACCAGATGTTTTACTCCCCAACTAATACTTCCTCTGAATTATATAAAACGATAGTATTTAACACAATGGGAAACAGTATATTGTACTGGTTAAAACAACATGGGCCTTAGGGGCACCTCGGTGGCTCGGTTGGTTAAGCGGCTGCCTTCGGCTCAGGTCGTGATCCCAGGGTCCTGGGATCAAGCCCCATGTCCAGCTCCCTGCTCAGTGGAGAGCCTGCTTCTCCCTCTCCCTCTGCCTGCCACTCTGCCTACTTGTGCTCTCTATCTCTCTGTCAAATAAATAAATAAAATCATAAAAAACAAACAAACATGGGCTTTAGAATCATCCTGGGATTTATTTTGGCCGTGTGACACATGTTAATCTGACCACTAATCTTCAGTTTCCTCTTCTGTAGGTAATAGTCATGCTTAGTGCATAGGGCCATTCTCATCATTAAATTATCAGTGCCTGATACATGAAATAGTTCTCTGTGAAAATTTATTATGGGGAAATTTTTCTCCATAGTGAAGCATTAATGTAGGATTTTTTTCCTCCCAGTTTAGCTGTTTCTCTGCAGTGCTAATTTATTCTGTCTTCAGTAAGATCAAGGATCTCTGCTCATCATTGAAAAACCCCATTATAAATTGATAAATCTAATTTAAACCTAAAATATATCAGAGCCTAGAGTGTAGCTGTTTACAACTATTAGTTTGTCATTCTTATCTTTAAAAAAAATTTTTTTTTAATTGTGGACAGCCTTCTGCACACTCCTCTGCATCTAATCCGTCAGTAGGCTGGGTTAGTGTGACCTCCCATAAATTTGTTGCATAAATTTCTGTCACCACTGCCATAGTCTAAGTACCCATCGCTTTTTTTTTTTTTTTTAATTTTATTCATTTACTTGACAGAGAGAAAGAGAGCACAAGCAGGGGGAGTGGGAGAAGCAGACTCCCCGCTGAGCAGGGAGCCTGATGCAGGGCCTGATCCCAGGACCCTGGGGATCACAATCTAAGCCGAAGGCAGACGCCCAATCAACTGAGCCACCCAGGCGCCCCGAAGCACCCATCACCTTTGGCCTAATGTACCAGAGGAGCCTCTAACTGGTATCCCAGCTCTTGGTCCTTCTACACTGTTCTACCCATGGTAGTCAGGGTAATCTTTAAAACATCAGTATGATCATATCACAAGCTTGGTTGAAACCTTTTAGTGGTTTCCCATTGCTGTTAGAGTAAATTCCAGTCTTCTAATGCTCTCTCTGAGCTGGCCCTTGGTTACCTCTTCAGCTTGATCTTTTACCATTCTTCCCCTTTCTCATTCATTTTACTACACCAGCCTGTAGTCTGTTCGTTTTTGCTCTAGGACAGTGCTGTCCAGTAGACCATCATGTGAAGATGGGGAGGATCGATAGTTATGCCGTCCGGTTTGCTAATCACCTGCTTTGTGTGGCTGTTGAGCACTTAAAATGTGGCTAGTGTGACTGAGAAGCTGAGTTTTTAATTTCACTTAATTTTAATTAATGTAAACATACATAGCCATACATGGTTAGTGGCTACCATATTGGACAATACAGCTCTAGGGTTTTTTCATGTGCTCTTCTGTTTGCTTTGGAGTACTTTCTCACTCTTCCTGGCTAAGTGCTACTCATCCATCAGATTGAAATGTATTTCTTTTACAGAGACGCCTTTTCTGACCCATCAATCTGAATTAGAAAATCTCATGTTATTCTGTCTCATAGCCCCTGTACTTTTCCTACATGGTACATAATGACAAAGTGGGATTGTTCATTTTACTGTTATTTCCCCACATAAAAGCAAAGTTCATGTCTAATTTGTTACCAGTTTATAACCAGCTTCCAGCCCTGGGCCTGGCACTTAGTAGGTGTTTGGTAAATCCAATGAATGAATGTTCTGAAACATTTTCTCTATTTTCAGTTCTTGGGAAAAGTTCACAGAATGATGTCTTTATCTAGGCACTGTCACATTCTGAAAGGTATCTCAGAACAGATAGACTCCCCAAATGATTAATTATATATATCATCTCAAAGCACAGTGCCTGATAAATGGTAATTGTTCAGATGCTAATTAACAATTATTTGGAAACTGCAGCATTATAGCATAATGATGTAAGAGAAGTTCCTGCCTCACAGGCTTGGATGGAGGAGTTGGGGAGCAATCCTGGAGGTCATTAGACAGCACTTAATGAACACAAGTTATTTTTTTATTTTTTACTTTTTTTGCTTTGCTAAAAATAAAATTTTTAATTAATTTATTTGTTTGTTTTATTATGTTAGTTACCATACAGTACATCATTAGTTTTTGATGTAGTGTTCCATGATTCATTGTTTACGTATAACACCCAGTGTTATATGCAATACATGCCCTCCTTAATACTTATCACCGGGCAAGCCCATCCCCCCACCCCCACTCCCCTCTAAAACCCTCAGTTTGTTTCTTGGAGTCCATAGTCTCTCATGGTTCGTCTCCTCCAATTTCCACCCCCCCTTCATTTTTCCCTTCCCTCTCCTAATGTCCTCCATGCTATTCCTTATGTTCCACAAGTAAGTGAAACAATATGATAATTGACTTTCTCTGCTTGACTTATTTCACTTAGCATAATCTCCTCCAGTTCCATCCATGTTGACGCAAAAGTTGGGTATTCATCCTTTCTGATGGCTGAGTAATATTCCATTGAATATATGGACCACATCTTCTTTATCCATTCATCTGTTGAAGGGCATCTCGGCTCCTTCCAGTTTGGCTATTGTGGACATTGCTGCTATGAACATTGGGGTGCATGTGGCCCTTCTTTTCACTACATCTGTATCTTTGGGGTAAATGCCCAGTAGTGCAATTGCTGGGTCATAGGGTAGCTCTATTTTTAACTTTTTGAGGAACCTCCACACTGTTTTCCAAAGTAGCTGTACCAACTTGCATTCTCACCAACAGTGTAAGAGGGTTCCCCTTTCTCCACATCCTCTCCAACATTTGTTGTTTCTTTCCTTGAACACAAGTTATTTTTAGAGCCAATTTTGGGGGTGCCTGCCTGGTTCAGTTGGTAGAGCAAGCAACTCTCGATTTCAGGGTCGTGAGTTCATGCCCCACATTGAGCATAGAGCTTACTTGAAAAAAAAAAAAAAAGCCAGTTTTGAATAGGGCAACGGATTCCTCCTCCCCCTGTAAAGTTTCAGAAATGGCCAGAAAAAAAATTCAGGAATGGAAAAACTTCTGAAGTAAAAGCCAACTTGTGACTAATGGTTTATTAGGCACTATCTCAGATTTTTTACCCAATTTTACTGCAGCTCTTTGGTCTTAGTGAGTTGTGTGGGACAAGGGTTGTTTTCCCAAGAGCTTAGCTATTTCTGGAAGGGAGGAAATAATCGTGTAGGGGATGGGGAACAGGGAGGAGAAAGTAAGCACAGTTACTTTCTGAAATTGTGAGATAATTGGAAAAGCAGAGTTCCATGATGTGTAATTATACACTTATAGGTGGATTCTGAAGAGCCCGTCTTTGAAGCTGTCATCAACTGGGTGAAGCATGCCAAGAAGGAGCGAGAAGAATCCTTGCCTGACCTGCTACAGTACGTCCGGATGCCCCTGCTGACCCCCAGGTACATCACAGACGTAATAGATGCTGAGGTAAGGCATGCAAAACACACAGGATCCAAAACCTTGAATATCTCTTGGAACTTAGTATTGTGTACTCAAAATTGGTAATTTTAATATAGGCACAGAGCCTCCCAAGTTAGCCTGTCTAGGAATGCCAGAGAGGAGAGAGGGTGGTGCTAGGTAGTCTCCACACAATTGCTTGGCAAGTCAGCCTTCTGGAAATGGAAATCTGTGGTTTAATTTTCTGTTTTCTTGTCTTGTTGTTTTATATGCCGCTATGTGTTTTACATAAGCAACATGAGATGATAAATGTCCCCTTCTCCATCAAACATAAGTTGTTCCAGATTGCCCTGAAAAAGATGCTTTGCTTATCAAGTCTATTTTTGACCTCTCGTGATATCAACGTGAAAGTAGTTTGATGCATTTTAATATCAATTTGGGTTATACTGTGTTTATTTATAAAAGTGTTTTTCCAACCCAAGTTCTTTGTGTGTGGTATGTTTTCATAATTTTTACCATGTATATCACCGATTCACCCTGACCATACTTTGGGTGAATACTGCTGTTTAACATATAGGTAAAGCCCAGGTCAGTGAATGTGTTCCTTCTTTTGGCCCAGTCCCAGACCTCTTGGGGAGTTAACTACATACAGTTTTCCAGGTCATATTAGAAAAGTTGCAGGCTGGTTAGCGTCACGTGTCAAACTTTTTCTCATATTTGTAATTTCTAACAACTCATACAGCCATCGTGTCTGTTCTTTATGTTGTGATTCATAATGCAGACTCTCAGGTCCAACTCAGGAGACCGAAATCCCAAATTCACCACTCACCCTGCAGTGAGGGAGTCTGGCCTCACTCACCTTCTCCCTCTGAGCTCTTCTGGAGGTCCTCATTGGTTGAGCCCAGCCAGAAGCCAGAGAGCTTAGGGACCCTATGACATACTTCGTGTAAGCCAGTCTCCTAAGGCAGCGAGCGGAGTGGAGAAGGATGGGGAGTGAATCTAGGGATGTGACGGAGAGCTGCCCAGTACAGAGTTCCATCAGGAGGAGACAGAGGCATCGTGACAGTGCTGTGAATCTTGGGGGAATTATTTCAGACAAGATTTACTTCTTCCTATCATCCCAGGAATTGACAGAAGCCTTTTGGTTTTCCCTTAAAATTTTTATTAGCTATTTCCTACTTGTGTTTGTGTAATCACTGGAAGGATGTACAAACAAAAATAGTTAATGCCTAGTGCTGAGGTGGATAGAGAATACTTCTCAGTATATCTTTTTATGTCATTTGATTTTTGAACCATGTAATATTGTCTATTAAAAAATTGTTTTCTTAATTTGTGGAAACCCACTGCATAGTTATTACCAGCAGCCCTTCTGGAACTGGTTTTCTAGATCAAAAAGTTCCTTCTTACGTGTGCCATTTATACTCGTATATTAAAGACATGGCCCCTGTGGCTCACTCTGCTCTCTGCTGTGTTTCAGCCTTTCATCCGCTGTAGTTTACAGTGCAGGGATCTAGTTGATGAAGCAAAGAAGTTTCATCTGAGGCCTGAACTGCGAAGTCAGATGCAAGGACCCAGGACGAGGGCTCGTCTAGGTAAGCTGGCATCTTGGCAGAAGGAAGGGATATATTTCAACTTCCCCTTGCCAGGTGGCATGATGTAGTTAAAAAGAACATTCTGTAAGAAGTACAAAGACCCGTTTCAGACCTGTTTTTAATCTTTTAGTAATAGTGCCATCTTGGACAAGTCACTTCACCACCCTGAGCTCTCCTGCAAACCAAGGATACCTTCCCTATCTATTTCACATAACTGTTTAGAGGATTAAATGGAATAGAGTATATAAAAACACTTTCTAAATTGTCAAGTATTAGGCAGTGTAAGTTATAATTTTATTTCACTGGGGCGCCTGGGTGGCTCAGTCGTTAAGTGTCTGCCTTCGGCTCAGGTCATGATCCCAGGGGCCTGGGATCGAGCCTCACATCGGGCTCCCTGCTCAGTGGGAAGCCTGCTTCTCCCCTGCTTTTCCCTCTCCCACTCCCCCTGCTTGTGTTCCCTCTCTCGCTGTGTCTCTCTCTGTCAAATTAAGAAATAAAATCTTAAAAATGAAATAAAATAAAATGAGGATACTAATGTCTTATTTCAGTCGGTTGCTGTGGAGATTAAATGGCATAGTACATATAAGATGCCTGGCGTTGTAGCTGACAGGTAGTAAGTACACAGATACTGCCTCACTTCCGTTTCCTGTCCTCCCTATTCCACTATTGTAGGTTATAAATAATCTATGGGGTGGTGTTTTCTTTTTGTTATTGTCTACTTTTATCTAACTGTGGACTCATGTATATGAAGGTGTTAATTGATAATTAAGCTGTTTACTGATCGCTTTAAGTAGAATGATGATTTGTCCCGTTACACTTTTTTAATGGCGTAAGTACTATATGTCAATGTACGTCAGTGTAGAAATGTTAGAAATACAGAGAAGATCTCGAGATTAGAATATGATTCTACATTCCCTTAGTGTTGTGAGATTATTTTTCAGAAGTTCCAGTAAAAGAAATCCTGAAGCTGTCTCCAACTAGATTCTTATTTTAGCATCTCCTTGTCAGTGCCTTAGAAGTAAATTGTTCCTACCATCATGTCTTCTACCATTTCTCTTCACAGAGATTGCTAAACCAGCTACCAGGATAATGATTCTGCATACAGCATTAGACAATTAAATTTACAGCTACATAAAAATAGCATGCCAAATAATGGGTGGGGATTTTGTCTTTACCCATTACTTTTTCACAGAAGATACAGTGGAAATTGCCATTTCTAATTTGTCACAGTCTCCTTTTCTGAGCTAAAGATCAATACATGTGGAAATGTAGTCTCTGAAACCTGTGGTGTTAGCAATCCTGCAGGCTGTTTGCTATAGTCCTCTAACAGCACACCACAGTCCACACGCACTCCTCCCCCCAGTAATGACGATGGCATTGTCAAGATGCCTCGGTTCTACTAATGTGGTTTTTCGTACTGTTTTTTTCAGGTGTTTTGACATACTTTCTTCATGATAAAGAGAAAACCTAACTTAACAAGTTCCCCCCACCCCCAATTCATTGGCAGAGAACAAACAGGTTTCCTTCTAGTCATTCCTTTCACTAGCTCTTTTCACATTAGTTTGTTAGAGTAGTGGTCCCCAACTTAGGGTCTGAAGACATTGAAACATTTAGGAGTTCTCCCAGGAGAGGAACACTTTCTAGGCACAAAGTAATAGAAGAAATCACAAAGGAAAAGGTCAGTGTATTTGACTAAATAAAAATCATGCATAACGTTGTAAGACAAATAGGAAAGTAGATTTGCTACAACCACGGCAAAGAGTTAAACTCATTTGTATATAAGGAGCTCATAATAAAAATACATGAGAGACACTGAAGACTTGAGTGTACAGTTTACAGAGGAGGGAGTACAATTGACTACTAGATACAAAGGGGGAAATTCAACCTAATTACTAATAGTCTTATTAGTAATAAAGTAAGAATTAAAACAGTGAATACAATTTTTTGTCTACCAAAGCACCAGAGGTTAGAAAACAATATCCAGCTACAGAGAGTAGAATGAATTGGCGACTTTATAGTGTTGATAGCAATATAAATTGGTTTAAACCTCAGAAAGTCATCTTATAATGTGTGTGTATATATATATATGCATATATTTTTTTTTTTTTTTAAGATTTTATTTATTTATTTGACAGAGACAGCGAGAGAAGGAACACAAACAGGGGGAGTGGAAGAGGGAGAAGCAGGCTTCCAGGCACCCTCTTATAATGTATATTAAAAGATTTTTTTTAAAGTTCATGTTCTGGGGCGCCTGGGTGGCTCAGTCCTTAAGCGTCTGCCTTCGGCCCAGGGTCCTGGGATTGAGCCCCGCATTGGGCTCCCTGCTCAGCGGGAAGCCTGCTTCTCCCTCTCCCACCCCCCCTGCTTGTGTTCCCTCTCACTATATCTGTCTCTGTCAAATAAATAAATAAAATCTTAAAAAAATAAAAAAGTTCATGTTCTTCACCCCAGCAACCCTCCCATTTCTGTCTTAAGAAAATAACTGGGATTTCATATTCAAGCATATTTATCACAGGACTATCTAGATGTGATTGTTTATAGTCCCAAATTACAAACACCTGAAATGCCTAAGAATAATAAAATTTTGTGTTAAAAGATTTTGTTAATATCTTGGGGAAATTAAATATAAAACAGGTCGGGGGGCAACTCTTGATCTCAGGGTTGTGAGTTCAAGCCCCACATTGGTGTGGATGTAGAGATTACTTAACAAATAAAATCATAGCCTTGCAGACGCCACCGACCTGGAGCCGCCTTCGCCGCCCAGCCATGGTCAACCCCACCGTGTTCTTCGATATAGCCGTGGACGGCAAGCCCTTGGGCCGCATCTCCTTCGAGCTATTTGCAGACAAAGTTCCAAAGACAGCAGAGAACTTCCGTGCCCTGAGCACTGGGGAGAAAGGATTTGGTTATAAAGGTTCCTGCTTTCACAGGATTATTCCGGGATTTATGTGCCAGGGCGGGGACTTCACACGCCATAATGGCACTGGAGGCAAGTCCATCTATGGGGAGAAGTTTGATGATGAGAATTTCATCCTGAAGCACACGGGTCCTGGCATCCTGTCCATGGCCAACGCTGGACCCAACACGAACAGTTCCCAGTTCTTCATCTGCACTGCCAAGACCACGTGGTTGGATGGCAAGCACGTGGTCTTCGGCAAGGTCAAAGAGGGCATGAACATCGTGGAGGCCATGGAGTGCTTTGGGTCCAGGAACGGCAAGACCAGCAAGAAGATCACCATTGCTGACTGTGGACAGATCTAGGAAATCCGACTCGTGTTTTATCTTAACTACCAGACCATTCCTTGTGTAGCTCGGGAGAGCACCCCTCCACCCGCACCTGCTTGAAGTACCCCAGAATCTCTGTGCCCTCGCTGCAGTTCTGTGGGCTCCATGGTTCCTTCTGCCCAGGTCTAGCTGGATGGCAGAGTTCAGTTGATGATGATGAAA